TTATCTATCTTTACCGGCTTTCTTATCTCTCATTGAAGACATTTATAAAATAAAAGGCTTCTATTTTCTATCTTACAATCACGTGTTACACGAAGATTGAGGTCTAACTTCAAAATGTTTCACGTTACATTATACTGGTCTGACAATGCTCATTCATCAAGGAAAAATACATCACGAAGTGAATATTTCCTTTCGTACCATTGAACATAATTCTGAAATGCCTAAAAATGAGTACTATTGAACATAAGCAGGATAATGGCCGCCTGATCCAAGGTTTTATATACTTTTTTCAAAAATAACCGAGTTCCTTTTATTTTAATTGACAAAGTTCCAAAAATATAGAAGCATGTAATTTTATATGCAAAATATTCAGGACTTAAGCTACAATCTGATTTTTTTTTTTTTTTGTATAATGATTACGCGTTAGAATAATTATTAAAAAAATTTAACGTCAAAATTTTCAAGTCAAAAATTTGTAAGATTAGCATTACAAAAAATTGGCAATATTTAATTATGCTTTGCGATCGTGTAAACCCACCTTCATCTATCTTTAAATATTTGTTGAGATATGCAACTTTTGTCGCCACATTATTTTCGTCACACACAAATTATTAAAAAAGGATTAATTAATAAAATAAACTTGTCTCAATTATCCCATTTGGGAAATTTCATTGTTGCCAAATGAGAAAAAATATAGAAAGTTCGAGCATAATAAATGACTAAAATTTTTTATTTTTTCCCACACAACATTTTCTTACGTGTCTTAAATTTTTTTTTTTAAACAAAAAAATGTCCGATATTCGTGTTGTAGTTGGAATAGGTACAAAATTTATTAAAATATTATTTTACCACTTTTTATCGAACAAAAATATTAATTAACGATTACGATAATATTGTCAACACCCATTTTTTTAAAAAATAATTAGATTTTGGAACAACCTATTCGGTAAATAGTCGTACTTACAATGATTTTTTTTGTCAACTTATCTTTTATCATTATTCTTCTTTTAACTACAGGGATTCGCGTACTCGCACAAAGTAAACCCTGACATTGAAACAAATCAATTTTGGCCACCAGAAGCATCATGGAATGGCGCAATCGACAAATTTAAAATCAACACAGTATTGATGTATGATGAAAATGGCGATAAAGTTAAATTATGGGGTTATAAAGCCTTGGCCAATAAAAAAACGAGAAGACGTAACGATGACTCAAAAGATGCTAGACCTGTTGAATTATTTAAATTGCATCTAGGAAGAGATATAGAAACTTCAGAAAACTTGGAATCAAGATTAAACGAAGTTTCTACACAGAATAGTTTCAATTATAAAAAAGCTGTTTCTGATTATTTGGGTGAAATGGGTTTGTGTTTTATTAACAATTTGTGGATTAATTCATTAATTCATTAATTTGCTAATTATAAAAACAACATCAATAATTATTTAGCCAAGGTAATAAATATAGTACAATTTCTTTATTATTATTATAATTTAGTCTAAAATTTTTTTTATATATTGTCAGCTAATTAAAGATACCGTTCAAAGAAGATGGGATAATTTAAACTTTTTCGAAAATGTCTTAATAGTTTTAACTGTGCCAGCGGTAAGTTTTATTTTTTATACGGATGCACTTATTTTTCAAAAAAAAAAATTTTTTTTTGTTGTTATCATCACCATCATCATCACCACCATCATCATTATTATTAGGAATTTACTGATAAAGCAAAATTTATTATGAGAGAATGTGTATTCAAGGCAGGTTTAATTAACGAATTACACAGCGAAAATTTACAACTTATAACTGAATGTATGTGTATTGTGTGATTCTTTTTAATGTTATTGATTTGCATGTATATGAGTGCCTAATATTAATTGCTTACTGGCTTATCCATTGCACAATAACATGTTTAGCTGAAGCCGCTGCAATTTATTGTAGAAAAGTTTTGGATGAACATTTTGAAGTTCCTTTTGGAAGTAAATAAATATTTTTATAATAATTTATTTTTTCAAAGAAAAATTTTTAAGAATGGTCATTAATATTTTTTTGTTAGAATCATTTTTAATTGTAGATTGTGGAAGTGGAACAGTTAACCTGTCAGTTTGTCGATTATTAGATGATCATAGTATTAGTTTAGAAGAAAAAACAGAATGTTCAGGAGATTTTTGTGGTGGAGGCTTTGTTGATCAAGAATTTGCTAAATTCCTTGGTCAAAAAGTAGGACACCATGCCTTGAAATCTTTTAAAGAAAACCATTATGGTCGATATCAATTTATGATTCATGAATTTTTTCATAAAGAAAAACATCGATTTGATGGCAACGAAAGTGAATTTGAAACGATCGACTTTGACCTACAAGATTACACACCATTGTTAATCGATTATATCACTGATGATTTGTTGAAAAGTAGATTGGAAGTGGATGAATGGCAAATCACATTGGAATTTCATCATATGAAATCATTTTTTGATCCTGTTATAAATAGAATTATTGGATTGATAAATAAACAATTAGAAAATGCAAAAGAATGTTCTGCAATGTTCTTGGTTGGTGGATTCTGTGAGTCGAGATATTTACAAAATGTGATCAAAAAAGAATTTCACGATCGAGTCAAGAATATTTCCGTGCCTCGTCATCCTATGTTAGCTGTTGTTAAAGGTGCAGTGGAATATGGTTTGAATATGAAGTGTGTTAAAAATAGAGTGTTGAAAAACACTTATGGTGTCATGTTAACTGTAACTCGTGGTACTAAAGTTGATGTCGACGAAGAATTCTCTGTTATTAGTACACCATTACATCCTAGTTCAAAAACCATGTCTATTGAAATTTTTGAAACATTAAGTCGTGCTCCTAAATTTTTTGATGAACCTAGAATGAGACAATTAGAAAAAATTAAAGTTGATTTACCTGAAAATCCAAATTCAAATGGAGCATCTTCATCAAGTAGTGACAACATCCAAGATAATTTAGATGATGATGTGGATGATAAACGTTGCGTTGAAATAATTTTACGTTTTGGTGAGACAGAAATAAAAGCTATGGCTAAAGTAAAAGGAACTGGCGAAATTCGTCAAGCACTAATAAATTTAGGATTGTAATTTATTATTAGATGTATTTAGAAATTTTTTTGTATTTTTTCTGTCAAAAACATTCATAAAAGTTATAAAATGATATTATGTAAATTACCGTAAAATTCAGAAGGATAGCACCCCAAAAATATTTGAAACAACTGTTACTATTACTATTACACGGTTTTAAAAATTGGGTGTTATCTTTTCGGACTTTACGGTATGTAAATATTATTACTATTATTATTAATTACAAATAAAGAATAAAATTAGTGGGTTTTTTTATTTTTTTTTCTTCGGTTGATGGTGTTACTGATGTTGCAAAAAAGTCTTGCCCAAAACGTGTTTTGCTAGTAACATAATCTATTAGATGGTGGCAATAATTAGTATTATCTTGTAAAGATAAACATAAAGTGATTTTATTAGGTATACCAGCTGTTCCCACCACACACTAGGAATTGATAGCGTTCTTGTGCAATGATTCTGTCATATAGAGCATTACGAATGTTGTTATTAATCACGTTGATTGATCCGTACAGATTACGATCTTTGAAAGGGATGATACATCACAAATTAACCACAAATTAATGATACTATATATGGGGCATTATTATACGTGCTAAAAGTTCTGGGCCAAGCCCAAAATCTTAAAATACGCAATGATAAATCATTCTTTCTTTTATTTTCATGCTAAATTTTTTCGCAATTCAAAAAGATCAACATCAACTTGATATAATTAATTTTATATTAATATTGAAATCACACAATGCATGATAAAAATATTTACAATGTACCATACAAGAATAACAACAGAGAAACGCTTCTTTGATATTTCCTATTTTGGAAAACAATTAAATCCATAAATTTTATATCAAAGATTAAAAAAGTCTTGTTCGTTTCTTTTCCAGGCCTTCTACTGTTTCTAAGTGCACGCATGATTATGAATATCCCTTTTTCATTAAAATAATAATAATAAGTGGTAAACATGACTCCTTCAATTTTTACTAGAATTCAGCGATCAAACTTTTGTCCATCAAAGCATGATAATTATTAGTAAGGTTTGCTTAAAAAATATACACGTGTAACAAAGTTGAAGGCTTCATAGGTATATAATAATGTAATTTTAATTTTTTCAAAAACCATTTTTCTCATATTTATATATTAAAAAATGACAGAATATATTTATGAACAATCATTATTCTCCTCTGAAATACAAGATTTTTTACTATGTAGCATTTTACATAATTAATGAAAAACATCATTTACAAACTTTTGTCCAGGTAGCGTATGTGTTGAGACTATATGGATAAAAGAAAATCATTTCAGAATTTTAATATTTACCCTCCTCAATAAATCTTCATTCAATTCAACTCAAATACAGAGATCTCATTTAACGCATACACTAGAGATTGGAATCGGTCAAAGAAATCCTTAGTTGGCTATTAATTAGTCAAATTTTTTTTAGATGGTTGACTAAATAGTCAATTATTTTACATTAATTCCATTAATAGATTTAAATAAACCAACCAATGAATCTAAATGAATAAATGAATTATTAAGAAATAAATTATTTTATATTTCTTATGTTCAACTTTCCTTAAATTTAGGTAAAAGCATACACTTAACAATTAAAGAGACATCATTATTAACAATTGGATTGTAATAATGACTTACATAAACAGAATAATCATATAAAGAGCTGGTTACATAAAGGAAACATTTGGCAAATAATTTTAATATATTTTTCATGTTTAGAAGCACATTGATTCAACTGGCTCTCTGAATATTTTGAGTGTTTTCCAAAAACCAGAGCAATAAAGAAGGCAAAGTGCTAGCAGTTGATATCCAATATAGTCAAATAAAGGAAAAAAATATCTTTAAAGGCATGCTTTGAACAAATTAACGAATTTGAAAGAGAATGATTTATCAATATCATCAATGAAGTTTGTAACATATATGAATTGGTCAACAAAGGGTTCTAGAATTGACTTTCAAATTGCACTTAAAAACTGGATCAGAACTGTTTTCCCAAAGTCGAAAAAGGAACTGTTTTATCAGTGTTAAGTAAGATCAGTTATTGTCAGTACTGCAGAAAAATATAACTAGAAAATTATAAATGATTCTTGTCATTATTTTTTGTTATTATTATATGATATATATCATCAATATAATTATCAAATTGTCAAAATAAGCACTCCCAACAATTATAATGGTTATTGTCAATTGTTTCGTTTAATAATACATTATCTTATTTTTGATATTGATTTTCTTTTAAATTTGCTGAATAAAGTTAATATCAAAAACCTCTATTTCAGTTTTTTTTAGACATACTAAAATATGTTAATATATTTTAATGACAAATCGTTTTTATTATATTAGGACTGTGACCTGAATTTAGAACATGACAAAGGTTTAGACTTGGTATAGGTTCTTTCTCAAAACTTGTTTAAGGAATTCAAAAGAGTTTAGGATCATAGCATTGGTCAGGACTAATGGTGTTGTTAAGTAACAATTTAAAATTTTTAATGAAGAAAGTTATCACACGTAGAGGGAGATTTTTAAATAGTAAAATATCATTCTAAACTTTTAAATGAGATCACACTATTTATCGTGAACCACTATTTAACAGGAGATTTTAATTGGCCAAAAAATTTTGCGTTTCAAGTAACAAGGATGGTGGTAGCAATATTTTATTTTGTAAATCAGTTTCCTTATATAGAATATTCATTTTGAATTTTGAAGACAGGTTTGTTTTAATACTACTACTTTTTCAATAATTAATTCCTTTTTTTACAAAGAGGAAAATAATTTTTAAATTAATTGTACAGTATTTTTTTAAAAAATGGATAATTTAATGAATTGTCCTCATTGCAACTATTTAAAACCATTAAATTTATTAATAATTTTCAATTTATTTTTATTGAATAGTTTCAATTTTTTGGTTTCTGGTCAATCATTAAATATATATCATCAAAGTTCAATAGTGTTAAATGATAAACTCTATTATTTTGGAGGATTTTCTTATGATTCAAGAGAAAATACATATACAAACCAAATAATTTATCTAGATTTATCCACATCATTTTCACTTAAACAAACATTACCAATAAAATTAATTGTTCCAAAATCAGTAATCCCTCCATTTATTCATGCATCATTAGCATTAGGAGGGGCTAATAATGACACACTTTATCTTATAGCTGGATATAAAGGTGAAACAGTAGCACCTGGTTCTATAGCCTATGGGTCTATAGTTTATTCAATAAATACAAATTCATTTGATACATGGACTCCAGAAACTTTAAATGGACAATTACAATTAAATAAAGTTGCTTCAACAAAGTATACACAAGATAATTATGGAAACACATATATAATCACTTATGATTCAAATATATATAAATTCAATGCAAATAGTAAGATATTTACAACCTTAACACCAATTAACAGTGGTCCATCTATAACACCCATAACTTATTTCAATTGCCATGTGTTGAATGATGAGAATATAATTTACCTTGATCTTTATGTAACTAAAGTAATATTATAATTTATTTTTTTATTATTTAATTAAATAAAAGGAATGATAATGTTGTATTTTCTAATAATACATATTATGTTAGATATACTTGTATAATATTAATCAAAATTCATGGTCTACTATTGTAAGTTATATAACCATCAGTAACAATATTTTCAACTAAAAAGATATTAATAAATATTTGTTATTAGACAACAATTGGTGATATACCTTCTCCACGTCAGGGTTATTCTTCAGTATTAGGTAAATTAATTATTATTATGACTATTTAATCAAATAAATTTTTTTCGATTTATGTTACATATTTATTTGTTTTAGCATCTGATGGAAGGATAATTGTGTATGGTGGTACTTCAAAATTAGACAAAATAGCAATATTGGATGTAACAAAATCTCCCTTTCAATGGACAGTTCCAACAAATGTCACTAATTATCCTGTTAATCTAATTGATAAAAATCATAGTTATCATACTTCAAATTTATATGAAAATTACATGATAATCTCATTTGGTAACTTATAATAATAACAATTTAAAATTCATACATAAATAAATTATTTATTTATATTAATTTTATTTCAATAATAATAATAGGTTGGATTGTTGTTGGTACTAGTAATTATAAAAATATTTTATTATTAGATATTAGTGACAAATATAATTATAGATGGTTGGACACATTTGATCCTAAAATCATTACTAGTACTGTTAGTGGACCAACCACCACTGGTACTAATCCTTCAACAGTTATAACCACCACCAGTACTAATCCTTCAACAGTTATAGCCACCACCAGTGTTGCTACTGATGATCTACAAACTACTGGTATAATTATTGGATCAGTTACATCTGGTGTAATCTTCATCATTGTTTTTATTTCTATTATTATTTTTTATAGAAGAAAGAAGAAATCCAATGAAATAGTTAATAATGTTGTTGTCAGTGATGATAATGAAAATGAAAATGAAAATAAATTTACTAGTAATATTGAAATCATTTCAAACAATGATAATAGCTACAAATATACCAATAATGATAGTAATACTGAAGCTGTGGTAGATACTAGTCATAAAGGCATTATTGATGATAATAATATTAAATTTTGAAAAATAATAATAGTGATAATGATAGTGTTCAGAATGACCAGTTAATTACAATTAATGACAACAATAATCAGACTTTTATACCTAATTCTACAAGCTCTAAAATAATCACTCATGAATCAATTCTCCCATCTGGTGAAAAAGTCAATAAAACTTATCAATTCACAACTTGGTTTCCACATTAAATTATAAAATATAAATTTTAAGATCTTTTTTTTATTTTATCTTATATCAAAGATGTTACTTTTCAAAATCTTCAACAACATAACTCTAAGATTTAAATAATTACAATTTTATTTTTAATTTTAAGTTAAAACTTTATCCAATATAAATTTTTGGTTCTTAAAAGAAATAATAAAATGAAAATTGGTTGAATTTTATCAATGTAATAATTTCCATGCAACCATGTATATGGTATAGATTTGGTTTCTTTTTATTATCTGTTCTAAGAATGGTTGGCGAAATACTTTGCAGAGCGGGAATTATTTCGTCAAACCATTGTTAATTTCGTCACATTTCACGAAATTGAAGTTGACCAATTAAACCGACCAAGTTTTCATAACCAATGATCAAAGGTATGGCCAAATATTGATTTTATATATTAGATATGTCAGTGTAGTGATGTCACCAAAAAAATGATCTAGATTCGGAACCCTTTGTCTTATCATCATGATAAAAAATAATTGAGAATATTCACCATGGTAAATACCCAACATCACTCTACAAATTGAATTGCTATCTAAAATGTCATTAATAAAATTATTAAAGCCCTAGGTTTTCAAAAAATGTACTTTGAGCATATGCATCGATCTTGTTTGAACTTCAAAATTCAGTATGGTATAATCATAATGTTATGAATACCTTATACTAGCAATAATCCATTAGTTTTGAGGTAGTGCCGTTGGTTTTACGGGCTATTGAATAGTAAATTAGCTTTTTTGGGTTAATCATCACTCTACTGACCAGTTTCACACACACAATAAGATATACATGTAAGCTCACTAAGTCAGATGCAACAATCAATTGTTTAAAATAAATAAATGACCGACCTATTGAGTTTACATGTATGTAGGATTTGAAAGAAGGGCCCAAAAAACAAATCGGCTGATATGGTAATTACATATTACCAGCAATTTTCTCATCACTATCCTTGTCCAAAGTTGATGCAAGAAGTTAATATATTGGCTGAAATGTTTGCGCTATATAAAAACAATCAAAATATGTATAGGAATCAATCGTCCGTACATCACTAAAATTTTATTATTTGGTAATCAGCAAGTATCACAAGCATCTGATTTGATTGGCTAAACCAATTTCGTCAGCTAATCTGTACATTCAATTTTGGGAATTGTCCTGTCCACAGGATTTGCAAAATACGTCATGTTTTCATATTTTTTCTTTGATTAAATCATTCATGTTTTCCAAGTTAATTAAGTTTGTGTATGTTGTGCGTGAAAATGAAATTTATGTGAATTTGAAATTCACATATAATTCAATTAGCCAATTAGAATTCCACATCCAAACACTCCGCCCCAAAATTTTAATTAAAGATTTCAATTTCACATACAACATCCAAAAATTTAATAAGCTCCAATTTGTTCTCGTGTGTCTTTTCCCAAATATTGTGTGCCAAATCTCGTTTTGATAATAAAATCATGCAGCTTCAAACCCCTAATGCTTTAAGATTCAAATAGCTAATAATTGGCAAAAACATCAACATTGTCAACATCATCGTTGACATTCTCAGCACCATCGAACGCAACATTGTTATCATCAAATTTGCCGTCATGCAGATCATCAAATAAAAGACCACCACGAGCACCATGTGATAAGGAAGAAGAAGCGAAAAAAAACGCGCCTTGATATTTCCTTGAATGTATCAAGATCAGAAACATTAATCAATGCAATGGACCAGGTGAGGAACAAGGGCAAAGTGCCAATGTAGATAAAGAAGACTTTTCAGCTGAAAACTAGGGGAAAGATGTTGAGGTTTGGGATATACAGTAGGTTGTGATGGCGACGAAGAAACTGCTTGAATCAGTTTAGTTTTAAGTAAACATGATTTGTTTTTTGAATGAAATATTTGATAAAATGATGGGCTGGGCTATATGTGACATGTCAATTCTCTCCTTTATTTTCCGAATAAGTCTAAAAAAGAAGTTGTATAAAAAGTTGTGTTTGAGATTAATTGACTACCATTACCTACATACAAACAAAAAATTAAATTTGAATTGTTACAAAAATCTTTGATTTCTTAATTTAATTAGGGATGTCAACCGAATCCTTCCCTTTTCGGTAATACCTTCAAACATTTGCAAGTTTAGACACCTAAACCGAAATTCAAAAACCACACAGAAATTCAAAACCTAAACCGAGAGTCAAACAATGAATGCATTTGACTAAAAATCGCTTATTTTATTTGAATCATTATCAAAATTTATGATTAATCCTAAATTCAAAACATTATTTTCCTAGCATATTTTCTGATGATTTTTTTAGTTTCTTTTCGTTATGGTTTCATCATCTGCATCACTTTCACCATAATCATAACCACTATCTATATCATTTGTTTCATAATCATTTCGTGATTTCTTTCTTCGCCTGACTGACCTCTTCATTTTTTTTTATTATCTTCATCACTTGTATCTTCTTCATTTTCATATCTATCAATTGCTTCTTTTAAATTAATTTTCTTAACAGAATTAATAGTATATACATTACCTGGACAAAAGCCAGGCGCATTTTTAAACAAAAATTGTATTAAATAAAAGGTTCACCAAATTATATATGAAAAAAATTCACATTTATCATTTTTATTAAACTAATATTAAAAAAATAAAATCTCAACCATTTATTTTTTCTTCCAAAAAAAAAAAAAGATTGTTGAAAAACACACATAATGATCATACCCGAAAATTTAAAGCTAATACTTCGAGTTTAAAAGTTTTCAAAGGAAATTTATTAAAAATGATGTTTGTTTATAAAAAAAAATATTAAAAACAAGAAATATACTTATTGAGACTTTCAAAAATGTTTATTAAATACGTTTCTGTTCAATTAATTTTTTTTTTGCCAGAAATATTTTTGAGTGAATTTCTTATTTTTTTCATTGTTATTTTCCTAGACATAATGGAAAATTTAAATTTTGTATGTAAAAATTTTGAGAACTAAGTTACAAAATGATATAAATTACATGTTTTTATTCTTTTTTTTCAATTTTAATTGGATAAAAATTAAAATTAATTCTTTGAATTTTATTTTTTCCAATTTTGCGTTTTACTCCCATCAATTCATCTGTTTGTTGTTCTATAATAAACGTAGAGAGACAGATTATATTAATGTTGTGCGTGCGTCAATTTGAAATTCACGCGCGTGAAATTCAAATTAGCCAATCAAAATTTTGTATTCAAACACCCACCCCAAAATTTAATTGGTAAATTTCAAATCGACACAAATTTGATTTTCACGAACAACATTTGTTAATATGTACACTTACTAGACAAAAGTCAGGCGCATTTTTAAACAAAAAATGCGCAAAAACGCACACAATAAAAACACAAATAACTTATATCATTTTCTAGCATAGGTTCTCAAAATTTTGCATGCAAAATTTAAAACTTCTATTATGCCTAAAAAAATAACAGCTAAAAAAAAATAAAAAATCCGACCAAAAATTTTTCCCAAAAGTTTTTCTGACAAAAAAAAATTTAATTGAACAAAATCGTATTTAATAACCAAGCTCAAATTTTTGGTATGTGATAAAAAACGTCTTGAATAAGTATCTATGTTGTTTTGAATTTTTTTGTAAACAAACATCATTTTTAATAAATTTTTGAACAATTCATTTGAAAAATTTCAAACTCAAAATGTCACCCTTAAGTGAAAGTCAACGTGGTGAAATCATCGGTCTATATAAAAATAATGTACCAAACCACAAAATAACTAAAATTGTTAGTGTTCGTAGGAAAACAGTGACTCGTACTATTCAAAATTGCATTGATAGAAAAGATCTTGTTACAAAAAATCGAAGTGGCCGTCCTAAATTAACAAATGATGTCCTAATTAAATTGATTGAGAGTATGCCAAGGAGAGTTGAAGCAGTCATTGAAAATAATGGATGGCAAACAAGATATTATTATTATTATTATTACTTTGTTTATCGAATTTTAAATTTTTGGGTATTATTATGTGCATTTTTCAACAATCATTTTTTGAAAAAAAAAAAAGTCAATTTTGATGATCCTGTTTTGTCAAAAAAATTTTGGTCGGAATTTTCTTTTTTTAATCATTAGTTTAATAAAAACATTAAAGATGTGAAATTTTGCATATATGGTTTGGTGAACCGAAGTTGCGAAACAATGTTTTTTATTTAATTATTATTAAGTATGTTTTTGCGCAATTTTTGTTTAAAAATACGCCCGACTTTTGTCTAGTGAGTGGATGTATATGATTTAAGAAAAATTATGGTAATACAGAAAAAAAGTAATGTATGAATTGTTATTATAGATTGTTTTCGGTTTAGATTTTGACTTTCGGTTTAGGTTTCGATTTTCGGTGTTTCGGTAGACATCCCTAGACAAAATTCTCCTTTCTGAATATAGGAGATTGAGCTGTCTGTGTCAAAGGGGTTTGAGATCAATAAAAAAAAATTTTAAATTGATCGACTTGATTTATTTTGTATCATCCATAATAATAGTTTGAATGTGTTCACATAACGCATACACTCATTCGTTATTTTAATTGCCTCAAGGGCAGAGACGTCGTGAACGAATATAGTGGTTGAGTAAGTTTTTTACACCAAATGGCCTGAGAGAAATATCACTACGTTGTTGGTGTTAAGAAAAAAATGTGGGAATGGCTGTACATTTATGTGTTTCGAATTTAATAAAATAGACTATTGTCTTTACCCAAGCGATGTGATTATTTTGCTCTTTACAACAAAGGTGCAATTCAAACTCAATAAATTTTGATATTGAGTGGCGCAACATGCGTGATATTGTGTAATTTGTAAAAAGCAAAAGGCTCATTTTGCGTTCTCAATGTTTACAGCGTATATTGTTTCCTTATTTTTATTAATAGACAAAAAATTTACAAATGAGAACATTCTATAAAAAAAATTGTTTGACAAAATCTATTTTATATTTATATTATTGTTTATTGCCGACAGATATTTAATTCAAAACAAAAAAAAATATTATTTTATTGGTGCAAAACACACACTAACGGTGATCATTTACTTTTATGGAAATGATTTTAGTCCGAAATGCCTAAAAGTTTACAGTACAAAATTTTTCCCTGCTACAAAAGTGTATTTTTTTTTGATATAAAAATTTTTTGTCCAAATATTCTGAAACTCACCAATTGTTACTGTAAGCAATTAATTGATTATAGATGATCTGCGCCATATATAGAATATTCATTTTGAAGACAATGCAATAAAAGCAGGTTAATACTGCAATTTTTCTATTGTTTTTTTTTAAAAATGGATAATTATCATCATCACAACTATTTAAAATCATTAAATTTATTAATAATAATTTTTAATTTATTTTTATTAGATTTTTTGGTTTCTGGTCAATTATTAGATATAGATCATCAAAGTTCAATAGTGTTAAATGATAAACTCTATTATTTCGGAGGTGTTTCTAAAAGTTCAGGACATACAAACCAAATAATTTACCTAGATTTATCCACATCATTTTCACTTAAGCAAACATTACCAATAAAATCAATTGTTCCAAAATCATTAATACCTCCATTTAGTCATGCATCATTAGCATTAGGAGGGGCTAATAATGACACACTTTATGTTATAGCTGGATATAAAGGTGAAACAGCAGCACCTGGTTCTATAGCCTATGGGTCTATAGTTTATTCAATGAATACAAATTCATTTGATACATGGACTCCAGAAACCTTAAATGGACAATTTAAATTAAATAAAGTTGGTGCAACAAGATATACACAAGATAATTATGGAAACACATATATATTCAATCTAAAAGATCCAAATATATATAAATTCAATGCAAATAGTAAGATATTTACAACCTTAACACCAAGTATTAGTGGTCCATCAGATGTATATTTATCCAATTGTCATGTGTTGAATAATGAGAATATAATTTACCTAAATCTTTATGCAACTAAAGTAATATTATAATTTGTTTTTTTATTATTTAATTAAAATAAAAGGAATGAGAATATTATATTTTCTAATAATACATATTATGTTTAGATATACTTGTATAATATTAATCAAAATTCATGGTCTAATATTGTAAGTTATATAATCATCAGTAATAATATTTTCAACTAAAAAAGATATTAATAAATGGTTTGTTATATTAGACAACAGTTGGTGATGTACCTTCTACACGAAGTAGATATTCTTCAGTATTAAGTAAATTAATTATTATTGTAATTATTTAATCAAATATATTTTTTCAATATATATAATATTTATTTATTTTTAGCACCTGATGGAAGGATAATTGTGTATGGTGGCACTAAACAATCAGACAAATTAGCAATATTGGATGTAACAAAATCTCCTTTCCAATGGACAGTTCCAACAAATATTACTAATTATCCTGTTGATCTACTTGATAAAGAACATAGACACCATACTTCAAATTTATATAAAAATTACATGATAATCTCATTTGGTAACTTATAATAACAATTTAAAATTTGTACATAAATATATTATTTATTTATATTAATTTTATTTATATTCAATAATAATAATAGGTAGGACTGTTGGTACTAGTACTTACAAAAATATTTTATTGTTAGATATTAGTGACAAATATAATTATAGCTGGTTGGACACATTTTATCCTTTAGCTAAAATCATTACTAGCACTGTTAGTGAACCAACCACCACCAGTCCTAATCCTTCAATAGATACAACTACCACCAATGCTAATCCTTCAATAGATACAACTACCAGTGCAACTGTTGATCAACAAACTACTGGTATAATTATTGGATCAGTTACACCTGGTGCAATCTTCATCATTGCTTTTATTTCTATTCTCATCTTATATAGAAGAAAAAAGAAATCCAATGAAATGGTTAATAATGTTGTTGTTAGTGATAATGAAAAAGACAGAGAATTAAATCAACAAACTCATAATGAAAATGAAAACAACAACAAATTTACTAGTAATATTGAAATCATTTCAAACAATGATAATAACTACAAATATACCAATAGTGATAGTAATACTGAAGCTGTAGTAGATACTAGTCATAAAGACATCATTGATGATAATAATAATATTAAAATTTTGAATAATAATAATAGTAATAATAATGGTGATAATGATAATGCTCAGAATGACTAGTTAATTACAATTAATGGCAACAATAATCAGATTTCTATATCCAATTCCAAGAGCTCTAAAATAATTACTCATAAAGTGATTCTCCCATCTGGTGAAAAAGTCAATAAAATTTATCTATTAAGGGTA